CTAAAATGGAACAGTGACTCTGCTCTGTTATATTAGATCTGTATCAGAACTCATGACCCTTAAGCTTATTTTCCCTCAGGAAATGTCCAAATATCCACAAGATACAGTTAGGTGTTTTCCTGCAATTGTCTAAAAATAGTATGTAAAATAATATAAGTTAACAGCAAGAGTGTTAGGAGGGGAAAATACTGACAGATGCTTGACATATTTGTTATATAGAACCTTTGGTTATTTACAGAAAAAAAATCTTCATATATTTGTATGGGTATGATTCAGTCAAATCATACACAGGATTAAAATCTGTTTGCTATTTTTAGTTTTTTCTTGAAAAAAGCAGTTAATATAATCAATATGAAAAATATAGATATTGTGAGATCAAGTCCAAACATGGACTTTTGCATGAATAGAAAATGATATGTGAGTTAGTTTCACTTTTAACCTGAAGTAGATTTTCATTTTTCTGTCATAAAAACTGCCTAACACGCCTACCAATATCCCACAGGCAGTATTTCCATCATTAATGCTGTTTTATCAAGAGAATTATCAAATTAATATATTTTGCATAGTGTAGCTTACTGTATTCTTGCATAATAATTTATCTTACAGAGAAAACAGATTTTTGATTTTTTTGAAACCAGGAGAATATAGTGAGGGATTCATAACAGTACATATAAGGCTTATCCAAATTTGCAAATACTCAATTACCAGTCATTTTAATATAATACATAGATTCTTTTTCTATGTATTTCGCATACAAGAAGGCATAAAAATAAATATATTACATAAAGTACAGCAGAAAATATTTATTCAAACTATAATATCCCAGTTAAAATCTATTATAGGTTTGCATCCAAAATGATCAATAAACTATCTCTCTTGAGTTTGGACACCGAACAAGCTACATCAGTGGAATCAATACCTTAAAAATTCTCCAATGTGCCATATATTTTAATCTAATTTGCATACATATTAATATATATGGACTTTGCTATTTTCAGTTTCTTCTTTATTCTCCCTTCCACAATTATGCACTCAAATCTGGTAAAAGTGTATAAAATAAAACCCTTTCTAAGCAAAGCATGGCTCATATGCTAAAATCCGTAGTTCACTCCATTTGTTATATTTGAACAATGTATTATGATGAATTTATTGACATCTATTGTGAATCCATTTTTGTGGAATTTATTTTTAAAAGCAGCTTTAAATAATGTCCGCTATGACATTATGGATAGGAAATATACCCGTTTGTAAATCCTGGAGGTCTGCTGGTAAGGTAGCCTATGTTAAACAAAATGGAATTATGCTCCGATTTGATGAAGTCAGTTTCCTATCAATTCAGAACCCCCTTCTTCACTATAGTTCTCTATAAAAGTGAAGCTAATGATCTGAAAACTACACTTGACCAGAATTTTATATATCTTTATAGATTTTTAGCACAAACATACCTGAAATACTATAGATTTACATAATAGAATGCCCATAATAATTAGAAGTTCCTTATGAAATGTTTGCAGCTGTTTTGAATTGTTTTAACAAAAGGCCTACCAATCACCAAGTAGTATTTGGGAGGCAAGGGGAGGATCATTGCTTGAGTAGACAGTAATAGGATCATAAGGCTTATATTAAGATCTTTCATTGAGCCTGAATCTTATTGCTTTCTTTTTTTTAAAAAAAAAAGATATCAATTAGCATGCTTAGATTTTACAAGCTTGCAATGGGGATGCAAAACAGCAACACTAACTTTCCTCCCTCTACAATGTTTAAACAACATGGAAGCAGGGAAGGTATTCTACATCCAAAGCCACATTCTCCAGTATTTCATTAATTATTTACAATATTTCTTACAACAGCAACAAATGTCTATGGGATAAATCCTCATACTTAGATTTCTTGGGTTCCAGTGTAATGACTAATAAGCAATAATTAAAATGAAGGAAATATTTTGCACATCAGCGTGCATGCCACTAAAATGGCAATTGGAGTAAAATCAGCAGAATAGTAATGGATCATGTTCTTATTTTTCTGCACTATACTGGTTACAGAAAAAGCTCTTAGTAAATATGAAAAATATAGAGTTAATTACTATATTTTATTCAAAGCATTTTTCTCTGTTGCAAGTACAATATGCCCTATAGCCGTGGTGGCGAATGCATGCCACAGGTGGCACACAGAGCCCTCTCTGTGGGCATGCACGCCGTCCTAGGCCTTCAGCTGGATTTTATAAAACCTTTTTGCTTTAGGCCTCAGCCGTTTGCAAAAAAAAAAAAAAGGTTCAATCAATTTCAACTTCTTGCGGGAAAAAAAAAGATTTCGCAAAGTTGGAATTGATTGATTGAACTTTTTAGTCCCATCCAGGCTGCCATTACCACCACAGCCACGCCCACCCAATGGGCCATGCTCACCCGGCACCCGATGATACATAAGTGGGTTTTGGGTTGCAGTTTGGGCACTCGGTCTCAAAAAGGTTTGCCATCACTACACTATAGGCAGATCCAGGGATTGAGCTAGCTTAGGGGATAGAAATTTCAGGGAGAAATAAGTCAGTTTTATGAACATCATGCTGGAATTAGAAAACATCTTCCTTATCCTGTACTTTACCGTGTAAAGTATCTGATTTGCATATACACTATAGCTTTGAGAAGAAGTGCTATATAAGTTAATATTAACATAGTATAAGCTGTTCAGGTAAATGAGACAAGTTTTAACTAATTTTTCACAATACTTTTTCATGACTGTTTTCACTAGTGCCACAAAATCTACTTAGTCAATATGCACATATATGTGTATTGAATATACCCCCTGAAACCACAAACATATGTTAATTTAAAGTGAACGTATTATCTTGAAAACAATTTGTGCCAATTTAGGACCAAAGCACATTGTTTTTCTTTAGATTACATGCTAAAAATATCTAGTCCGTTACTGCTGTATTTTTAGGTGGAATTAGCTTTGTTTGGGAAAATGTACATTTTAAATGTAAAGAGACTAATCGAGGTTGATATTTCGATCAATTAAAGTTGATACTCTCCACGCCAGCATTCCAGTGAGGACTGAGTCATTGGTACATATGAACAGACATTAATTACACATTTAAGTTTGTATTAGGCTAGATTACATTATTTTTTTTTAAAAAAGTAACTTTTAGAACTATCATTAAAATGTATAAAAGGAAACTTTCCTATTTAATAATATTCCTATTTTATATGTACATATACATATACATATATATATTACTGGCACCAAAGTAAGTACATGGGTGTACATATCTATAAACATGTCAACAATTGCCAATAGCAAACTGGAAGACAAAAGAAGAATCAGAGAATGGATACAAATCAGACATGAAAAAATAAAAGGAAATATTTCAATGGAATTTTTTTTTGTTTTTTGTTTCACAATAAAAATCATGTACATTATTTCCTGACATAAAAGCCTCCATATATTTATTATGTCTACATTAAGTCTTGCTATGCTAAAAAAATGCATATGTTTAAGAGTGCAAGGTTCATACAATAGGGACACATTTTCAGTCACCTTGAATAATACTGTAGACATGAAGTTACTAATATTTCTTCTGGCATTCTAAAATAATTATATCAGGTAGTACATTATTTACAATCCTGACATCATACAAAATTAAGGGCCTATGCACTTACCTTTTCAAAAATGTTCTGACTTTTGAAGAACTTTTCAACCATTTTCAATTTAGCCTCTCTCTGTCTGTCTTCTATATTTCTGTATGTCAGCCCTGGTGAAACATCAAATCCATATGATCTTATAGAAACTGAAGGTTGCTGTAGTAAGCAAAGATTCATGGATGGAATTCCATTTCTGTGCTGACATTACAAGCTAGAACCTGAAGACCTCTTTTGAAATCATATGGAAATACTATGAAAACTAATTAGAAACAAGTCAACAAATCACATGCAAATAAAGAGTCTCTCTATGACTACACCAGAAGTATTTGGAGGGCTGTGCATGATTCAAAAACAATTCAGAAGTATTACTTGGAGCCTTCCAAAACTACAGCCTCTTTCTGTTATATACATTAAAACAACTCAATCTGTTTCAGGCTCCTGTGTGACTCTGAAAGGTACTCTTAATTTAAGAAATATCATTATAAAATGTATTTGCCGTAGGACCATCTCATAGTACCAAATAGACCAAATTGCTTTGTCAGTAAATTCCTTTACTAGAAATACAAACTATTTCACTAAAGTTTAAACCATTTACATGGTTTCCATCTTGACAATCTGGATCTATTTCAATAGATATTTTAATAATTCTATTAAACACTTGTCAAGCAATATTTCAAGGAATCCTAAGGCTCATTGGAAGAGTTTTGTTCATGAAAATGACGAATGTGACAAATGTGATTTTAGCTACAACCCAAAATTGTCTTATCTTTAATTCAAGAGCTTATTTTTCAGATTTCGGGCATTATCAAATTTAGCAAGATACTGTGATTTGCCAAATTTGATATATTCCTTCCGAAACCATAGATAAGAATTTTATAGGCAATCACTGTTTAGTAATCTATGAAAACCTGCTTAATATATTACCATATATGCAGAAATGGAGCTGAATATTTAGATTCCTGGAAAAAAAAGCATAACTTCAACTATTAGTCAAAAAAATCAAATCTCTTAAAAAAATAAATGAGTTTATATTTCATTATAGTTTGTTTGATGTAGCAAAAATGAACAACTCTAGGAAAGTAAATAGAGCCATCACAATTCATTCTCTATAAATAACATTAATAGGCTTATTGAATGTTTACTTTTTTGTGAAGATTCTTCCAAACTTTTTTAAAAGGAGAAATATTAAGATGTCCAATTACATTAAAATCCCATTCCCTTTGCAAACAGGTATGCCATGTTAAAAAACATATATAAAAAATAAACGTAAGCTTAAGTCCATAAGTGTCTGCAGAGTTGGTAAATTAAGGCCAAAAAACCCCAAGAGGAATAATCTAAAAAAGGACTGACAAAGAAACTGGATTTGGATTTATGTATAATTTATACATTAAGTATAAAAATAATGGCAATCTTGAAGAGCCATTTCACTATACATTGTATCAGTTTTCTTTCCTTAATCCAATTGGAAACCAGTAGAATTCCAGGAAGATTTGATTTACTAATCTACAACCTTCTATTTTACATTCAAATATCAATTTACATGAAAAAGATAGTACACACTTCTCTGGATATGGGGCAAGGAGTTGCCTTTTACCAGCTAGATCAGGCAATGAAATTATTTTTAATTCCCAGTGATCATAATCCTCTTTGCAAATAATAAGTTCTTGGATTTGTACATAGGCTGTTGATTTCAAGCTAGACACAAACAACACTTTTGAAATGAATACAAAAGCCTGATTTCTAAGACACATCAAAGCTCACATTAGTCAGACAACCCTTCTTACATCATTGCTTTGCAATCAAATGTTAGGATAGCTTCTTAATGTCAAAACAAAATGCAAAGCAAATATTTAATGTTAATCCACCTGGCTCATACATTTTTATCTGAATGCCACTGTAATACAGTAACTCATTTTTCAATTATGTGCAACTTGTTTTTACTTTACTTCTAGATAATAAAGAATGCTAGAGTCTTCCACTAAAACAGATGATTCAAAGCAGAAATCTAAGCTATCACAAAATTTACAGTAGATATTGATACAAGAATAAAGTTGTGGATTTTTGGTTTGGTTTTTGGATCAACAAAAGGAAGGAATATGCATTTGCATTCAGAATCACTACCTCGAGATTATGGCATAAACTGCATCCATCTGCAAAACTGCTTTTGTTCAAATCTACTGTTCCCTGCAAAACATGCATGTATACTGGGATCAATATTTTCAACCAGATAGCCTTTATTTTACACTTTTGTCAGTCAGTTATGTTTAATATGGAAAATAGAGCCCCATACTAGTGTGTCACTTCATGAGTCTCCACCATGAGCAATATTTGCTTTAAACTTTCTGATCAATTTCAGCACAGAGAACAGCCATTTCAATCTGTTATCATTATACAATATATCTTAAACTTAAATCATTCAAACACACTTAACATAGATGCAGTTGTGCTTTGATCTCCTCAAGGACCTGACAGCAACATTCAACTTTATATTCTGTGGAAAATTAGTCTTCTATTTTTGATTTCATTACAATATCCCTGCATATTAAAGGAATCTTTTCAGTGTATTACATGAATAGTTTATTATGAAACTGGTTAAGACTGATTCAGAAAAATTGGCGAAATGTTTCTGCTTTAACGTTCTTTCCAGAATCACATGAGGAACCAAGAATACTCCATTTAAGAATTTTAGATAAACCAGTTGAAGACAATGTTTGATTTTCTTGTTCATTCTTCTAAATCAAGTGTGTTTAGTTCTTCTTCTAGTTCTTCCAAGTCCTCGCCAGTAAATAGATTTTCATCAACAGGTACAGCATCAATTACACCGTTTTCTGGGTTGCCTTCCATGTCACTGTCAGAATCTAAATCACTTTGCTCTCCGTTTTCAAGTCCACCCCCTGAAGCTTCACTTAACTTGTTGTCTGAAAAATAAAACATTTCTTATTTGTGTATGTGTGTGTGTCTTTCAGTCCCTCTTAACTTCTGGCTACTGCCTATAGTAGTCCCTGCAATTTCCTTGGCTAAATTTTGGCAATGGTGTTTCCCTTGTTTGCTTCCTAGGCTGAGAGTGTGTGACTAGCCCAACATCCCCAAACTGGCTTTCTGCGTAAGGTGGGATTCAAACTCAAGGTCTCAGTTTCTAAGCCAGCGGCTTGATCGCTATACAAAGTTGTACCTATTTATGCATCAATCATATTTAATATCATTAAACGTGACTGATGTACCTGAAAAATACATCAAAGCTGAGGAACTACAAAGTAAAACCATCAAAGCATTATATTTAGAAATAAACTTCTCAGAAATCAGAAATCTACTACTTCACCTTCTAGACAAATTTATGTATTGCAAAAGATGCAAAAAGTTCCTTATGAGGAGGCAGATTTAGGACTTTAGCTTTATTTTCAAGAGGAGGTTTTGACTCTCCCACTTGGAAACAATTTTATCATGTTTTTGCACCTATTTTTATGTTATTCGGGATAAGTTAAGAAACTCAATTATCAAAACAAATCATACTTGCAAAAGGAGTCATATTTTGGGATTCACTGTTAAATATAGGATAATATTCAGAATCTAAAAATTACCAAAATCTTCCCCATTAGCATAAAACAGGTTTTTAAATGCCTTACCATCCTTCTCAGCGGAAGCGTATGTGCTAAATCGTTCCAGACTAGCTACAGTAATTCCAGTCTCATCCACAGCTTTTGGAACATAAAGATTCAAGTCGATATCATTTACATCAACAAGTTCATTAACCTGAAGTAGAAGAAACATGGTTTCCCGTAATTAGCCTTTCTAATCTTGCTTATAGCAATAAATAAATAAATACATAAAAATTAATTAACTCTGTATCTAATATTTTTGTTCAATTGCCTGTGCACTGGACTACAACCTTAAAGCAAGTACTGATGGAGGAATTTAGCATGTGCATTTAACTATAGGATTTTTTAATTGTGAAGGGCATTTTTTTTCTCAGTATCACATACCGTATTTTCCAGCATATAAGACGACTTTCTAAAGCATGCAAATCGGCTCCGAAGTCGGGGATTGTCTTATACCCCGGAAAATACGGTACTCATTGCTCTTGCAGCTGCTTTACCTCATCATCTTCTGTCCCTTGAATATAATGGGTGTCATCTGCTTCTTCATCATCTGCATCAACTAGTTCTGGACGGAACTCAAACACTTCACGCCCGCTGATCTAGCCATGGAGAAAAGGACCAACATTAAGCAGAAATGTATTATGGACAGATGGATTTCAAGACAACTTGCATTAATAAAAGTATGGCATAATTTTGCTATATAAAAAAGCAGAACATACCACCAATGCTTTACCAGCTTTAAAGTCTGCTTTCCTTCTTTCCATATCTTGCTCAGCCTTATTAATTTTTTCTTGTCTTTTTCTTTTCTTCCATGCAAGAAAAGACTCTAAAGTAATTTTAGTAACATTTGGTCCTAAGGCAGAACGCTGCAAGATAAAAAATAATCACTTTGCGGGATCTTAAAAGACTTTCTTTTCACCCCTTTCGCATTCTCTAGTACATTAAAATTGAAATCTATCATAAATCTTTTCAGCAAGATTGTGAGTATATATGGCTTAGATCCCTTGAATTTCTAGCTTATTTGGAACCAAAGACAGGACTTCCATGTTTTTAAATTGTACGTTCCAGAACCTACAAGCAGTTGGAAATATAATATATAAATTAAAATTAAGGTCAAAAAAACCTCCATCTATATTAATTTCATATTATTTATTACTATCCAATGACATATACAAGACAAATTCATTATCATAAAGATATTCAGTATAAATGGGTGCCCCCTGGAGGCAAATACTAGTATTATTTTCATAATGTCTAATGTTGCAGAAATTAAAAAGCTTAAATTTTTTTAAAGTAAGCTAATAGAATACTGCGTGCAACTCTATAAATCTTTCTCAATAATTAAAAAAATATAATTGCAATTTAACAATATCTCTAAATTTAACATTCTCAGCTTTGCTCAATTAATGGGATCCTCTCATTGCCCAAATAACTGCATTCCTTCCCCCACTCTATCTATTTCAGGGTAAGTGGCTACATTACCTCTTTTTCTATTAGATCTTCCAAAGAAATCTCTTCTTCTTTTTCTTCTTTCTTTTTGTCTTTTTTGAGCACAAAGCCAGGAGGAAGTGCATGGCGGTACATGCAATTGTCACCTCCACCGGGACAGACCCAAAACCAGCCGTATTTATTGTTTTCAATAGCATCAAGGAAATACTTGCACACCTGCATTAAACATTTAGCATCAAATTCTGTTTTCTATTTTATACCCACAAGAGAATGCTTCTTATTCCTGGGGACAAAATGCAAACATATGAATTCACCCGGAGCAATATCAAAGCAGGTTGAGAAGGTAATACGTCAATGTTTGCTTTATTTGCACAGAATAAAGTGTCTACATTCATTTTTCTCTGAGATACAATTCTCTTATTTAAAATGCTCTTAGTTATTTTTGTATTTGACCCCAATCCCTTCAGATGATATTACTACATTTGTTATCTCATTTTCTGTTCATATTAGTATATCCATAGTTACTTAGTAACTATATAATCCCGAACAGATCTGAAGTAGCTCTTTAATTTATGATTGGGAAAAGGTAGTTTATACAGTACCTAAATTTCCAAAATTATTCCTTTATACTGACACATGTAAGTATCATTCCTTGAAACAGGATTTGTTTTCTCTATATAAATCTCAGCCCACCTTCATGCCTTTCATGTCTAAAATAGAAGTAGTAAAAACAAAGTTGGAATTACATCCAGAAATCATTAAATAATCTATGGCAAAATAATTATATGCCTGAGATAGTTCTAATTCTATGGATTCCATATTTCCCTCCATTGTATTATGTTAATATGCCATTACTGAGCTTAATTTGTCCAGGCTAAAACAAACTATACTTTTGAATCATGGAATCAGCTATTATTACACTAGCCTTCCATAGCACACAGTGAGTATTTCAGTTCATTTTATCAGTGGCTTTCTCTTCTACACAGAAAGAATATACAATGAAATAATATGTAAAATCTACATAAAGGAATTCTAGTACAAATTCTTTAAAAACCAAAAATACATACGATTTGTGTTTTAGGTTTTTTCTTTTCAGCCTCCCCATGCTTCTTGTTCACTACCTCCTCCAGCTTTTTTTCATCCCAGTTATCCATTGTATCTAGACAGAACAGCAAAATGTCTCATGAAAAGAAAAATCCAATGTTTTTGATCTCCTTACAAACATATCTAAAAAATAAACAAAAAGCACCATCCCATGCTTAATAAGATGCACTTATAACACTACAACACTGTTTGTGTTATTATGAAGGCCTTTAACACCAATATTAGTTTTTAATTATTTATTATTTTTATTGTAATTGTCCTGAAAACAGGTAGCCAAGAAATATCTTGTTAAAATGGTAGAAAACAGATCTCACTGCTACTTACAAAACTTCATCTAAGAGAAGAATACTTTCCCTAATAAATATTATTTATATTAATTTACAGAACTTAACTTAAACCTATTTTACAGAAATAACCTACCTTTTTCAAGCTCCTCATCTCGTGCATCAATGTAGACACTTCTCTTTTCACACTTCCTCTCTAAAGACAAGTCATGAGAGAATTTGCACTTGTCTCCTTTTGTGCACTGCCCTTGCTTGAAAAAGGCACAGACTACTGATTTTGGATCCGCTCCTGTAAAATTTTGCACACAGTTTAGTATTTTTTTTTCAGATTAAATAAATAAACCTGAAATGCAACACTAAAAAAATGCAGAAAGTAAACTACCTTTGCTTATTTTTTGGGCTGCAACTACAGGTTTGAAAAGCTCATTCAATTCTTGCAATTCTTTCTTCTTATCGTCTTTCTTTCCTTTTTTGTCAGCATCTGTTTGAGCAGCCTAGTAGAACATATCATCATTAATATACATAATTTATAGCCATTAGTATTATAGAATTATAATACTACCCATAGCCATTTGGCTATAGCCATAGGTATAACAAAAAAGCAATCAAATCACGATATGTGCAAAGGGAAAAGAAGAAAGCCTAGAAAATATTTACTTACCTGCCGTGGGTTTTGTTGACCAAATTTGACTTGGTGGGTCACTGCCTTGATAAACTTTTGTTGTTTTGCTCCTTTCTTATTCTTTAAGCCGAACGTTTTATCCTAAATTTGAAACATTTGCATGAGTTAGCATTGCATTTTACAAAATTCATGTAAAACAATCCAGTTTTTGAAATTTATCTTTAGTACATAAACTATAACATTTTTTTTGCTTTATTAGAATACATTTATATTCAAAAATATGTCCACTTAAATAATAAAACATCATTTTTATAAGAAATGCCAATCAAAAGAAAACATGTAGACTTAGTTCTTCCTTATCCATCGGTCCAATTTTTTGCAATATATATTCAATTTTCTGTCCAGACACAATGTCTGGTGATTGTAGCCATATAAATAAAATTGGTTATTGTGTTTGGTCTTGGACCATAAATAAAATTTGGAGGTTTTAAATTGATTTAAATAATTGAAAGATTTTAATTCAAAGCCCTGCAGACTCAGGGTTAAGATAAACATGCTTAGGTGACAGTAAAACTGAAAATATATGAAACAGAACTCTGCGTATATATCCTATAATTCTATAAACAGCAATATATCAGGCTATTAAAGTAGATGGAGCATTATATAATTATTTATTTGAGCATAATTAGGATGGAAGCCTTCAAGCATTTTTATTTTCCCCTCATAAAACATAATAGAGAGCCTTAAATATAGCTGAATACCTCTTTGTTTTTTCTCTGCTACAGTGTTACAGGTAAGCCAGTTAAATCCTACATTTTGTAGGTTAGGTTTCACTCCAAATGATTCAACAAATCTTATATATTTTCGGAAAAAGGAGAGTTGTTTGTACCCACATTTTTGGTTAAGAGCTGTTTTTGCTATTAATAACTATATTATAGTGGTTCTCTACAGTGTCTCCCCTAATCCCTACAGAGCCAGGCATAAACTGACAATATTAAACAAGCCACAAATTGTTTATCAATAAGGTGAACTGGGTATTAACTTTTACTTTTTCTAAATCAGGGGTGTCAAACTGCTGGCCACGCCTACCCCATTTCCGGCAATGCCAAAACAGTCCCGATACGTCACGCAATGTCACATGACATCACGAGTTTGACATGTCTGTTCTAAATGATCCATGCCAAAGATACATTAGATACAGTGGTGGGATTCAAATATGTGAACAACCAGTTCTCTGTGTGGATGCTGCTTCTGGAAGTCCATTCTGGGCCTGGGCAATAAAAAAATAGCTACCGGTTCTGCTGATCTTGTGTAAATTAACTGAATCCCACTACTGATTAGATAGGATATTACATATGACATTCTTGTTAGGATTGAGTGCAAATGATATACAATTTTAAGATACCAGTCCTGTAATAAAGCAAAAAAATATATTCCTTAGTAGCTAAAAGGACGCCATGTATTATTCTTTCCAAAACTGTCTCTAATCCTTCTTTGACAACAATCAAGTTATCCATTTCTATTTTAGTAAGATATTCAAACTTTTCAAAGCCTGTTAGAAGAAAGTAAGATAAATTTCTCACTCTCTTGTTTTTATTATTATATCCATAGCACTATGTGGTTTAATTATTTCTTTATCTTTGCCTTATTCTGAGGTTTAAACATTTTGCAAATATTTTATATAATACCTTATAAACAAATAATAAACAAAATATTTTGCAAATATTTTGTATAATACCTTATAAACAAATTAACAAGAGAGACAGAAGCAAAAATGATACCTTAGACTTTACTGGAGAACTATTAAAATTTGAGTAAAAGGAACATTTTCTTCCTAGTAAATTAATCTGAAACTGTACATCAGTTTTAACAAATTAGTAGCATGATCATTAGCCTTTCATGTCTAACACTGCCATCATCAAAGTAGGAAATTATTTTATCAGATATAAAGTGATTCAAAGCATTTTTGCAATAGCTAAAGATCTGCATTAATATGTGAATTATTCCCAAAAAGCCTGAGTATGCCGACTGATGTAAATCCTTACATTAAGATTTTAACTATTACAGAATCAAACCACACTTTTTTCCAATGTTTCATTCCTTTTCACTATATTACTCTTCCTCTACTACTCCCTCTTAGAGATAATAGTCACATAATAGTCTTTTCTTTTTTGAATCTTTTAAAATTAGTCCTTCAAATCTTATTTTGCTAAAATATAAGATAATTGAAATAATCCTATATTCTTCCCATGCCTCCAGTTCTTTTCCTCGGTAGTTTCAATGTCTCTATTTTAGATTTTAAATCCTTTGAAAAATGGACTTCTGAGATATTTTATTAGTTAAGCATCATTCACTTACACAGCTCTATAGAGTAACTTAATACATCCATGCCCATAGAATAGCCTGTAGTCTTAAAACATTACTGTATTCAATGTTCATTTTGGTAGACTATACTATCCTTGGTTATTATTCCAACAAACCTTAACAGAATTTGTTTTTGCTCAAAATCAAGTCCTATCAGTTTTATCCCAAGATTCAAGATGACATAGCAACTGAACTATTACACCACTGAAACTTTTTAGAGGCTTCATACATTATTCCCTCTCATAACATCATAAATTAACAGTATAAATCATAAAATCATTCAAAATAATTTGGCTTCATATGATTATTATAGAAGGTTGGGTAATGCTTTAAAGAGATGGCTCATTTCAAAGATTTAGGCACAGTTTCCCTGAAAACTGCTTTGCAGCCCTCTTCAAGGCAAACTGCTCCAGCACAAGTTCTATAGGAGAAGACTGAGAAGAGTCTTCTTCCTTCACCACTCATCCAAGTATTTCTAGGGCTAGGCTGAGGCGGTCTTAGTAGAACACTGCAGTAAGCAACAGAGCCATAAGGCCTGGAACCCCTTAGGTACATACCAAATATCTTCCAGGAAATGTTGCTTCAGCGCATGCTGTATCCTACAGCACTGGTCCCAGCTTTTTATAAAGCCAGTGCAAATTACTTCACAGAAATGAATTGCATTAACTATGTCAAAGAATCCCACGAAACCCCCCCCCCACACAGTACAAATCTATCCATGGAAGGAAAACTGTTACTCCACATAATTAATATACTTTTACAGCCAACTCCAATGTGCATTCTCTTGTATACAGGTACAAAACAGAACTTTAAGCTTGATACTTTAATTGGTGATGTTAATTCCTTGAAATTACATCCATGTCTTTGTAGAAGCACTCCAGCTGTACTCAGGACTTATGGCTTTGTTGCTATTAACAGAGTTGAAGTTTTTAGCATCAGCATATTAAAAATCTTTTTAAAATGTTTTTTTTAATTTTTAACTTCTACAAAAAGATCCACTGGGGCTTGTGAACCACCACCTTTCATAAATCCTTGTAATTTCAGTCAGCCAATATGGAGAACCAGGGAGGCCTTGGCCTTCACTCACAAAGTTCACTGGGTGACTTTGCACAAGTCCTCCTCTCTCAGCTTCACTGGCCACACAGGACTGTCATTATAAGAATCTAATTAGGAGAGATTCCCATACATGCCACTCTTTTTAGTACCTAAACAAACCAAACCTGAGATATATGGGTAATAAATCCATAATACTAGCCAGATATAGAACGATTCTGAGAAAGCTACCTACAATTAGGAACATTTTCATAAGAGTCCAAAATTAATTCCAGCATCAGTTACAAATGTCAACAGATGCCTTGCCTTCTTTACATGCCTTTTTTTCATTATCCCAGTCTTCAAATTAAGACTAAGAAAACAAGGCCCCTGAAAGTCTCTGTAGTGACAAACATACAATCTGTTGCATTTTCTAAATTGTTACTTAAAAAGTTATCTACCTACAATTTTTTAATCTTAATAATGGAACCCACAAAAGTCTTGATGCCTAGCCAAATCTCACTAGTTAATGGCACGACAATAAAGATGTTAGACCCTAATTTCAGTTTCAACATGTACCTTGTCAGTTTTCTAAAACTGGTTCCCGCCCCCCTAAGGAAGGCCAAACGCGCAAAGAGAAGAGACGGCTTCCTCTCTACACTTTTTCTACTAAAAGTGGTCTAAATCCCAAGGAGGAGGCAAAGCTATTTGGGTCCGGACCACTCTCCATTTAAACTTCTCCAGACGGAAACTCGGAAAATTGGCATGTCAGGGAGAGGAGGAGAAGCCCCGTTTCGCTCTTTTCTCCGTCAATGCTATTTTGCCACAGGCAGCAAGGCAGGAACAACCGGGACCAACGCGTGAAGCCTCCCCCCGCTGAAGAGGACTCAGGCCCGAGACTCACCTCAATTATCTTCTCCTTCTTCTTCTGATCCGCTTTTTTATTCCCCGCTGCCGCTGGCGCGGGCTGTTTCTTCGGGGGCATTTCGGGGCGGGGGAAAGAGAGGGGAAGAAGCCCTGAGGGGGAGAGAGAGCGAGAGAGGAGCCGCTCGCTTTGGCTTAACGGCAAGTGAGAAGCGGTAAGGGGCGACAACGAGTGAAGTGACGAAACGAGAGGGAGGGAGGGAGCTCGGCCGGAAGAAATGCCCCGGATTTGCGACAGGCCGTCAGTGAAGAAAGCGGCAGGAAACACAAGACGGATGCGAGCCTGCGCAGACGTGGAAGCGGCGGCGGCGGCAGATCGCAACGCCCACAATGCATTTCGTGAGGGTTGGGGGGGGGAAACGAAGGGAGGGGCTGTGGAAGAATTCGCTCTTTGTGTATTACGTCACGGGGTTCTTCGGATTGCGAAATCAGGCGAGGAGGGAGGAAGAGGGGGCGGGATTAGGGCGAGATTGAAAGGGCGACGCGTGCCGTATTCACGCCTGCCTTTCAGGGAAGTCTCGATACCTACAACGTTTATAGCTGGGCCGGCAAAAAAGGATTTCCTATTGCCTTCTGGGTCATCATCATCGTTGTTACTACTATTATTATTATTATTATTAATCATCACACGATCATCCAGATGTTCAGACTGGGTTTGGCATTTTTGTTTACCTAACAAAATAAGTTCTTACCAAAAACCTGGGATAGGCAGATCTGTATTATTTTTATTTTATTTTGTTTTATTTTATTATTATAACTTCTCCAACTTTATGTTCAAATCCTAACTGGTAAGGTGACCAATTGTCCTCCTCTAGGGAGGACAGTCCTTCTTTTGTAAGTTCTGTCCTCTTGAAAAGTGCCCTCCTACATGTCCTCCTTTTCAATATCTGAAGACTAATCTGTAAATCTCCGTGTTTGATCAATTCTCATCCGATCTGTTGCGTGTGATGTGGCGTATTTGTATTTGACATGATGATTTGTCAAGGCTCAGTACAGTGCAGTGAGATGCGATAATGAGAGGCATGCGCTCGGCACAGGAAAATTGTTTTGAGAGTGCGTTGCGCACAAGAGTGCGCCGCATGCAAGAGGCTTTGTTTACTTCTTACTAAAACATGACATGGTATACACATGCATTAGACTCATTTCTTTGTCAGTGAATATTCAATCATACACAGGTGAGCACAATAATTCATGTTTTATTAATTCATTATCTATTTAATAATTTCCAAATATGTATAATTTTATTTACAAGTTTATTTGCTTATGTTATTGTTTCAGTTTTAATAATTTTATTTATTCATAATGAATGTGCTTGCATCGTTCGTATAGCTCTATATTTTATTTTTAATTTTAAATTTCATTTATGGATGGAAAAATAAAAAAAGAGGAAATGCCATTTCAACAATAAATTGAATAAGGAATTTCCATTCCTCATATCAAAGAAGGATAACATTGGTTTCTGCAATATTTGCAGCAGAGAATTTTGTATTGCAGTTAGGAGCAGAGCAGCTATTACGTAACACTTGACCACCAAGAAACATAAGCAATCATCAGATGCATCTGCTTCCAGTTGTAAAGTAACAAGTTTTTTTAAAACTTCAAATTATTCTGAAGATGAAAAACAGTTAGCTGCAATGGAGGGAACATTTGCATTACATACCATAATTCACAATCAAAGTTTTTGGTATGGATTGTACAACTAAATTATTGAAAAAGTTTCACGATGCTAAATTTTCATGTGCCAGGACAAAATGCGAGGCTATTATTAAATCAGTATTTAAAAATTACTGTGACAAAATACTTACAGAGAACTTGGAAACTGCAGCATTTGTAACGGTTTTATCTGATGTGTTATGTGCTCCTGGCTACTTTCCTTCGTGACCAGAGGCAAGCTCACTGACCAATAACCAGCCAAGACACAGTGAAGGCCTTTTGTTTCGTTTATTGCAATAAGCGGGGAGAGAAGCTATCAAAGCTTGGTTCTCTCCAAAGTTTTAACCCAAAATATCTCCTTCTTTTATTCATCCCTATCACCGGCCGCTACAGCCTTCCTCTTTCCCCATTGGCTGAGGTAGTATGAGGTTACACTCTTTCCGTCCGCCTATACACATTTCCTGATAACATACTAAATCATATTCACATATACAATAAGAATAAGAAAAAATAGACATTTAAATGGTTATTTTAAACTCAGTATATTTATGTCCCCATTTTAAACAATAAGTTCTTTTCCTGCTTTTCAATTCAATGTGCCTCTCTTCTTATCTTATTCAGCTTATTTTCCTTATTCTCCATTCAACCTTCCTGGCTAGCCATTTCCTTTATATTTTTATAGCTTCTCTTCTTCCTTTCTCAGACCCAACTATTTTTGCCTTATCTTACTTCCTTAATCTCTTCCTGACTCTCACCATCTGTATTTTTCTTATTCAATTAGTTTCCATTGTCTCTGAAGATTTATCATATTGATGTATATTTATCAGATGCATCCAATCATAATGAAACTAAATTGTATCCAATACTAGTAAGATATTTTAATGTTACCAAGGGCATTCAAGTAAAAATTTTAAATTTAGAATCCATTGAGGGCGAAACTGCTGAAATTTTGTCAAACCATCTATACAGAATAATAAATGAAAACAATTTGAAATCCAAAATTGTTGGACTAACAGCTGTTAATACAAACACAAATTTTGGTGGGTGAAGATGCAAAGGGGTGAATAATGGGCAGGGCTTTTTTTGTCATAGAATGCACAGAATGGAGTTCTGGCACCTTTTTTGGATGGAACCTTGTAGGGTAGGCAAGGCGGATTGTATGATGTGTGTGAGTTCCGGCACTTTTTTTTTTTTTTTTTTACAAAAAAAGCACTGATAATGTGTATGTAAAATTACAAGATTTACTCCAAAAGAAAATACTAGGAATAGTTTGTAATGCACATATTTTGTCAAATGCAATCAACACGGCATCATGTGCCATGCCAATTGATGTAGAAGTAATAATTACAATTTATTTGTATTTTAGTCATTTTACTGTTCGTGTGGCTACTTTAAAACAATTTTGTGAAGGAAGTTTTAGGATATTCAAAAGTTAGATGGCTTGCACTGCTATAGAGCATGTTCTACAATTATTTGAGCCTCTCCATTCATATTTTTTAAGTTTAGACAAATGTCCTAAAATCCTGGAATCATTTTTCAATAATGAAATATCTGAGATATTAATATATTTTGTACATAATCAAGCATTTATTTTTCACAAAATGATTCAAAAGATTGAAGGTGAACACATTTCAGCTACAGAAGTAGTGTTATTTTGAATGACTTTATCCTTCAATATAAAACTCGATTTGAAGAAAAATTTCTTACTTTAGTTATAAAAAGAAAATTGTCAGACTTAGAGGAATCAAATCCAGGCATAACGGAAAAGTTTATCAAAGAAGTGCAGAATTTTTACCAAGTATGTTTTCAATATATCGAAGAATGGTCTGAAACAAACATCACAGGAAATAACAGTTTTCAATGGTGTTTTTGGACTTCATTGCAAGTATATTGGACAGATATTGAATCTTGTGTTGAGTTTTTATCTAAAGAAATGCCAGATATTAAAATAGATGATAGTTGTCTCTTTGAAGAAATTAGAAGATAGAATGTATTTTTAAATTCTGAAAAATTAATACAATGGGAAAATAAACATGTTGAAATTGATAAAAGATAGGTGGAAATATTCAACCATTTCAAAAATGAACATATTCCATGTGAAATTTTATTTATTCTTGTTCAATTTACGTTGTGCTGCCCTGGAACTAATGCAGCAGTTGAAAGGGTTTTTTCAGTTGCTAATGATTTTTGGAAAAGTGAGAAATCGAGATTGAATGTTGATACTTTAGTTGCAGCACTTGCCGTAAAATTCAATATGAAGGATATTTCTTGTTCAGATATTTCCAATATATTGTTAGAAGATGATACATTGACAAAAAATATTCGTTCAATGGAAAAGTACTCATTTAAATAATAATTAATAGGCATGTAAACATAATTACAATATAAAATGTTATTGTTACAAATATGCATTTATCATAGTATAGTGTATTCTGTATTATTGTTGCAATGAATAAAATGTTTCTTTTATTTACGATATTTTTTTCTTCAATTTATTTATGTCCTCCTTCTCATTGTAAAAAAGTTGGTCACCTTATAACTAAATTTGCCTAGATTTTCGAAAGTAGCAAGATCCTTAATTAATCCTTATTGGAGTGTATACCGTAATGTCGTTTCCATTCATATATCGTTATGTATGTGGGAGGCAGCCAACAAAATAATAAACCTATATTACACCAGAGGCTCCTTCATGAATCTCCCTTTGTAAAGATCTCCGTCGAGATTGCTGCACCCTAAAGTACAAGAGTACCGGCGAGCGTAGTATGTTTTTTGTTGTGTTAAAAGATAAATTCAAAAACTCGATTGAGCTACATAAACAGTGTGATTTCACATTCTTCTGTGTTTCAGATACTTCTGATTTTGGAATTCAGACAAGCTACTTAATGCCAGCGGGAGGATATTTTGGCTCCACAAATTTTGAACTCTGCTCCTGACTCATTATTTGTTTCCCATTTTTTGCTTCATAAAACTGATGTAGAAAGATATTTGGCTTTCTTCCAAAAACTACTGTAGCAACAAAGGTTGTTTAAATGATACAATAACCCAAATCCTGTGGGCTTCAGTAAATATAATGAGTATTAGGGCTTGGTTACTGTCTGTCTTCTGTAGTTTCTGTTCATGCTAAACAATCTATCAGGCTCTGGGCCCCATTGATTAAACAATGCTCAGCCTGATGGGATTGAGAAAATGGACTTTTCTGATGTCTGTCCACTGGAATGAGATTCCTCCAGAGACTTATATGCTCCAACTTTTAGCTCACTCCTTAAGACCTGGTTCTTCCCAGGCTTTGGGCTAGAATGGGAAGCTGACCCCCACTCCCCACCTTGTGGGTTGTCTGTAAAGAATTGGTGGTTCTTTTTTTTGTACTTCATGTAAATTGTTTTAATTGTTTTGTATGCAACCCAGAATTGTAATGGTGTTTAAATATCTGCTTATACATTTAAATACATACTTTCCTTTGAAGTAGTACTGTTGTTTCTTGCCCCCCTCCCCTGGGGGACATTTCTGTATTTGATTGATCTCTTTTTTTAAGGGA